TATCACTAGCATTAGCTATGATTATAAGTTATCATCACTGGTGTTATCATCATTATTATTCGCTTTGCCACCATCTTATTTATCATACGTTATGCCTATGATGGGCGCCCGTGTCGGCCTCACATCCGAACCCACACGTTACCATTTGACTACCTCGAAGAATATCTATCTATTTATCTATGTATGTATATGCATGCATGAGTGATTGTATATATATATATATATATATATATATATATATATATATATACATATATACAATTGTTGCCTGGAGGTTAACGATGTGGCTGGGCACTACAGTGGGTGAAGACTAAGCCCCGTCGAGGCAGCACCAGCTGACACACTTTGAACGAGTCGCCACAAGCGGACATCGATGATTTTGGTATCGTTGGATTCCTAGCACTGTCCACAATGCAAATATATAGTTTATATTGCGCTGAACCCCCCCGTTAGCGACAAACTTGGCCCCGATTGCAGGGGAGGGCATGAAAGGTTCCAGGGAAAATGTGGGGTTAAATAACACTAATAATATAATTCACATTGAAAATAACGCTGATAATTTACATTACTTTCCATTGCAGGGGGCTGCGCCCCCTGCGACCCTCCCTGGCGGGGCTGCCGCCCTCCAACCACCGCCGAGCAAACAAAGCATCCACCATGTATTCACGGCAGGGTAGAGAGCACACGACCTAGATGCGGAGCCGATAACCATGGATTTTCATGGCACTAACCTGATTGACAGATGCCGCAGGCTCGCAGGATCTTCCCCGACGGAGGAGGCCAGGGTGGAAGTACATCGGCTGGTGGCGACCTCGCGCAACAAGTTCGTTTCCACATTCGGCCATCGCGGCAGCTATGGCGGAGTACCGAACGCGGCGGCGGCGGCAGGGAGGTCCTTACCTGTTTTGAACGCGTATCTCGTTGTTTCCAGAGGAACGGAAATTATAACGTATTATTTCGGTTATGAACACTGATCTCGTGGTTCCAGAGGACGGTAAACTCGACCTTGAGGCGACGTTCCTATGCAATAGATGGCGACATAGTCACTTCCATAACTATATGGGAAAATAACTGCCGTCTATTAGCTGACCCTAATATACGTATTAATGTACGTATATCATTCCACTTCATCACCCGAGGCTATCGGTGTAACCTCGAGAACTGCCAAAACCAGCCGAGGAGAGCGGGCCACCACCGCTCTTCTGTTCATGGTATACCCTGTTCATCCTGATTATACTACACTCGTCTCAGTATACAATGCTGACTATGTCAAGGCTATTATGCTGCTTCAGCGTGAAAGTTACAATACCTTTATAATTGTGTAATGCTCTATCCTGCCGTGAATACGAGGTGGATGCCTTGCTTCCTCGGCCGAGGCGCAGCCACCTGTGTTGGAAAGTAATATGAATTATCGTTTTCATTGTGGGTTAAATTATTAGTTATTTAACCCCGCATTTCCTTTCATGGGACCTTTCATGCCCTCCCCTATCAGGGCCAAGTTTGTCGTTAACTGGGAGGTTTCTGCGCAATAAATCCTACACATTTGCATTGTATAGAGTGAGAGGAATCCAATTATACCAAAATCGTCGATATCCGATCGGCGGACGTAAGCTGTAAAATTACCCGTAAGAGTATCCGCATATGGAGAAAAAAATGTTTTTTAGTATTATAACTCTGGCGACGCAAATGAAGTTAGTGCAGTGTTATAAAGATAATATTAAAGTTAGTAATACTGACAAAACACGCAGATTAAAGATGACAGGGGGAAACGGACGAAAAGCAGACAATTTTGGAAAATAAATGTTTCATAAAGAACGAGCATGTGTTATGATAACTACGTTAGAATTAAGTTCACTGCTTTCATGATGATCATAGTACCGATATGTTCTGCATCTCCTTTAGTAATTTTATATGTATTCTTAATAGTTGGAAATCCTCATGTACCCTAAAATCTTAACACCGATCACATGACATGAAGGATATGCGAATAAAATGTTAAAACGTCTGTACCAATATATATGAGTCTTTAATTCCCATTTTGAAGTAGAAAGGAGAATAAGCTCCGAATTCTGTAATATATAAGAATTATGTGATATCATAGATTACTGATAAACGCCACATTGTCCCGAAAACGTCACTACTTACCAATGCTGGAAGTTCTGTCACTCCACTTTCTTAGGAAAAGACACATGTATTCCCAATTGTCATGTTGTCGATAAATAGCACTGCAATCCCTAGTGTCATGTTAATAGATAGTACTGCAATCCCTAGTGTCATGTCAAAAAATAACACTGCAATCCCTAGTGTCATGTCAATAAATAGCACTGCAATCCTTAGTGTCATGTTGTCAATAAATAGCACTGCACTGTTCGTAACTAATTTGCATGAAACCCCACTTCACGATTTTAGTGTACTTTTAACACTGTTCAACCCCAGAGACTAAAACGATATAAATTGGTTCGAGTTTGACCTTCTTCAAGACGATTCTTAGTAATATTTGATTGATATCTGACAACTTTAGTAAAACGGGCTTCTAACTTAGAATGCGTGAAGATGGCTCTATTACTTATTAAAACGGTTGCACTCTACATTAGAAACGATTGAGGAGTTGCAGCCTCCTTTTCCGGGACTTTGCTAGGTCCCAGAAACTGAGGATTTCTGGCTCCTGGTACCAACGCCCAAACCCACATCGCTGGACGTGGTAGAGCGATGCGGGTAATACAGCCAAGGAGATCGACCACATATTCGTTACCGCTCGTTGGAGGATCCTCCAGAATTGCAGAGTGCTGAGTTCTGTAGTACTGACCATTGGTTGTGGCTACCCTCCAGGTCCATTTCAAAACTCCCCAGCAGTCCAATGATCACCCTAGGGTGTTTCACTTAGACAGGCAGAGGGAGGAGGAGTATGCCTGGGGGTTTGCTGAGGCAATCTCTGGTTGTTTTGCAACGCTCGACAACATGACAGACCCTGTACTTCTGTGGAACACCTTCAAGCATGAAACGCTTGATGCAGCTCAAGTAACGATTGGTGAACGCCCGAGAGCAAGACGAAATTTCATCTCGCAGGAGACACTGGATGCCACAGATGCTTGTCGTGTGGCTCATCTGATAGGGGATCAGGATTTGCACCGTTCTCTGGTGTGCAGAACTCGGTCACTGTTAAGAAGGGACAAGGAACAGTTTATTAGGAGTCTTGCAGAGGAGGTAGAAGGCCATTTCTTAGTAAAGAACTCGTCCTGCATACCAAGCCCTGAGAAAGCTGAACTCCAAGCCCTCTTCACAGGTGACTTTGCTTACTAAGTGGCCAGCTCGTCTCAGATCCTGTTGCGGTGCTGGAATGTTGGGCTGAGTATTTAGAGACCGATGGGACCGATGGGACTGCCGCAATCACCGAAGCATCACATTGCTCAGTATACTAGGCAAGGTTCTCGCCCACATCCTTCTGAGATGTATCAGGGACCACCTACTGAGGCATCAGAGGCTGGAGCAATAATAGACCGTATCCTTGCGCTTCGAGTCACTGTAGAGCTCGCGTCGTGAGTTCGGGCGTGGGCTGCTTGCAGCCTACATCGACCTCCAGAAGGTGTTTGATATGGTGCATCGGGAATCACTCTGGGAGATTATTGGACTAATAGGAAGTCTGTATACTGGTACTGAAAGTGCTGTAAAGTGTGGTGGGGGCCTGTCGAGCTTCTTTCCTGCTAGTTCAGGAGTGAGGCAAAGCTGTGTCCTTGCACCAACACTTTTCAACACTTGCATGGACTAGATATCGGGCAGAGCTACTGTTCAAAGTCATTGTGGAGCAACTCTGGGCAATATCAAGGTTACAGACCTTGACTTTGCTGATGATGTGAGTCTTTGGAATCCTTAGTGGTGGCTCTGGATGCATTTAGTAATGAAGCGAAGCCCTTGGGTCTAGAGATCTGGACCAGGACCAAGATCCAGGACTTTGGAGACTTGCTAGGAGAACCTGTTCAGATGGTACGTGCTTGCGGTGAGGACATTGAAGTCACAGAGAGCTTTACATACGTTGGTAGTGTAGTTCATAACTGGGCTGTCAGAACAGGAAGTCAGCAGACGGATTGGCCTGGCAGCAGGAGTCATGTACTCTCTCAATAGGAGTATTTGGAGATGCCGGTACCTGTGCAGAAGGACCAAGCTACGCGTCTTCAAGGCCCTGATAATGCCAGTTTTGCTATACGGTAGTGAAACCTGGACATTATCTTGCACCTTGGAATCACATCTTGATGCCTTTTGTAATAGGTCCTTGCGCTGGATCATGGGGTTCTGTTGGCGGGACCATGTGTCAAACCAACGGTTGCACCGTGAGACTGGCACAGGACCTATTACCCAGGTGGGGCTTTACAGCCACCTGGCTCGCTTCCCTCAGGATGATCTTGCCCATCAGGTTATCTCTGTTCGAGACAGCCCTGGGTTGAGGAGGCCTGTGTATGTGTATATATATATATATATATATATATATATATATATATATATATATATATATATATATATATATATATATCTTTGTGTGTGGATGAATAGCCCGATATGTAGCAGGAAAGAGAATGGTGGCATTGTCGACAGTGCGACAACACTTGCGCACTAATGAGTTACGAAAATAGTATCTATCAGAGCAAAGCAGATGTTAGCTACCGCAATTACTTTACGTTTGTTTATTAAGATTATCACCTATTTCCAGTTACATGCTGACGATAAACGAAGAACATGATAAGAATTTTGACAAGAGGTACAATGAACAAAAGCTCAAATAAAAGCATATGAACATCATATCATCTGAAAATGCGTATACCATACCTAAACGTATAACCAACTACGCTATGCTACACTTTACTCTTACGTTGTACACAGGCGACGCGAACGGGAGCACCGAAATGCCGTGGTACAAGACTTACCTGCAGAAGAGCGACGATGCGACAATCAACTTCTCTGAGCCGTTGCGAGAACCGAATCATGGATACTGTTGCGCTGGGATTGGA